GTCTGTCTGCAAGGCAGACAGCCCATGCTTTGACAATGCTCCCGGGCGTGGTGGGGTGCTGGTGGCAGGGGTCAAACGCACTGGCACCAGAGTGCAGCCCTTGGTGTCAGGCAGAGGCAGAAGTGGGCGAGGGCTGGATGCCTGGCTGCAAGAGGGTGGACCCGCCAGCTGTTACGGCAAAGGGGAAGGATTTGCAGCATTCAAGCCTCCCACCTGTGCCATACAGGTGCAGGGGGCCCCTGCGGGGCTCGGGTGAGGGCACGTCCCCTGCCTGGAGGAGGCCTGCTGCCATACTGCTCCCGGCTTCCCAGCCTCCCAGCCGAGGGAACGCTCATGCTCCAGTCCCTGGTCTACGCACCCCACTTCTGGCACGGTTCCCGTGAAGCTGACATCCTCCCTGGGATAGTACAGCAGGGGATTGAGCCACAGGTCCTCGCAGATGATCTGGGTGGAGGGTGGGAGAGGAGCTCAGGCCAGCCTAGAGGTGCTAAGCTCGCCTGAGCCTCCCGGCAGGCACCTTGCCCACTGTACTCGTACAGCAGCAGAGCAGCAGCCCACCTCACCGGCACTGGGCCTGTGGTCCTCGCCAGCCTCTGGCGGCCAGCTTCCTGAGGCCAGCAAAAGGCTCCAGAGTCGAGTGAGCTGATGCCCATGAAGGGAGGCCTCACCTTGGCAATGCTGTTGGTGCCCGGGACAGCATGGTTCGTCAGCCAATCCAAGAAGCTGGGTGGGCAGGAGCCCGGGCTGTAGCCGGGTGGATCACCGTCACAATCACAGAACCACTGGATGGTGCTGGAACGTGCAGCCCTGTATCCTGCGGGAATGGGATCTGTACAAGGACCCATGGCTGGGCAGGAACCCCACCGAATCGCCTCCACCATCTACGGCTTCCCTACCACGCACGCTCCGACAGTAATCCTTGCAGATCTCGTCATTGCGGAAGTAGGGGTTCTGCCGGAAGCAAAAGCGTATCCTGCACTGCCCCTGGCCACAGCTGAGCTCCTTGACCTGCCAAAGGGAGCACGGTGAGCCCACTGTGCCCAGAGGCACATCCCGCCCCGTCTCCACATCCCCGGCCACACTCTCTTGCTTCCTCCCAGCAAACATCCAGCCCCGGGACCCACTCTCACCACCACCCAACCCCTGCACCAGCAACAACACACACCCGCGGGTCCCCACCTCCAAGCCAATCACGTAGCTCAGCACATCTTCATCCTGCTCATTGATGACGCTCCTCAGCTCGGGGTGGTGTGTAATCCGCTTGGGGTCAAGGAGACACCCGTGGCACTAGTGAACATGGAGCCTGCAGCATGAGTCACACTGCCTTCCCTTCCACAGCCCCGTGTGCTGCCCAACAGGCTGGACCTCAGCTCACCAGGCCTCTGATTCCAGACCTCGCCTCCCTCGAGCTACAGCACCAGCAGCCATGCTCAGGATTACAGGGGTTCCACTGCGGACAACCCCGATGCTCTGCTCTGGGCCGCAGCCTGAACTTGCACTTGCCAGGAGCTGCTCTGCTGCTACCACCTCAACTTCCAGTCCGGCAGCAGTGTGCCTCTGGCTGTACCACACCACTGGATCCTCAGCAGAACATTGCCACATTCCCTTCCCCAGGCCTGGCTAACCACAGCCCTGCACACAGTTTGTGGGTTGGATCCGGCAGGTCTGCCTCAGCTCTCCTGGACCTGTGAGCAAGACCTACTCGTGTGCTGCCCGAGCTGAGTGCAGCTGAGGCTAGCCGAGACCACCTGTGGTGCAGGCTGCTCAGCCCCACACCATGCACAGCCCAACACCCAAGCCATTCAGTCTGAGGGCTGGCTTTCCCCGGGGTGGTTAGTGCCTGGCTTCTGGCTCCCTGCCACAGTGGAGGTGACTCATCCAGTCAGGGCCTTGGCCAGAGCTAAGACTCTCGAGGACTCTGCTGCCCTCCTGCCAACTGCCACACTTTCCCAACACTCCCATCACACACGCACACACACACACACACACACACACACACACACACACAGCCCGCACACTCTGTCAGACTCTCTGTGTCACACACAACCCACCACCCCTGCCCTCCTCTGCCAGCAGGGCCGGCCTGGCACAGCCCCCTGCCCCAGCCAACCCCAACCCCCAGCCCGCCGGGCCCAGCCACACGGCCAACCTGAGCTGGCCGGCAGGAAGGATACGGCTTTGTGCCAGAAAGCCGGGATGGCCCTGAGGATGGCCTTTCTGCGCAGCAGGTACGGCCTGAGCCTCGTCGCCAGCTCGGCCTGCAGCTGCAGAAAAGCCCGCTGGCTCCCTGCACTCAGGGATCTGTGCCGCTCTTCCAGCCACTGCAGCCGCTGCAGCGGGGAGCCCAGACACCCAGGGCCCTGGCCACGCAGGGCCATGAGGCCCTGCACCTGAGCAGCTGGGGAGGGGCCGGCGCGCACGGCCTGTGTGCCTGCCAGGCCCGGGAGCAGCACTGGCTTGCCGCCCAGACCATCCGCCAGGCCCGGGACCAGACCCGCTTGCCTGGCCCCTGCTGGGGCTCGGGACTGGGCCAAGGGCGCAGGCGCCACCGCAGGCGCAGGCGCCGCCACAGGAGCAGGCGCCGCCACAGGAGCAGCAGCAGGCGCACTCGGGCAGCCAGCGCCCCCTTGTGTTCCCCAGAGCACCAGGCGCCCTGCACTCACCAGCGCCAGCAGCCAGCCATGCTGCTGACCTGGCCTTCATGGCGCCCACTGCAGCTGGGGATGCAGTTACAGGGCAGTGGCCTGGCCAGAGTGCCTGTGGCACCTGCGCGCTCCTGCTCTCCATAGCTCACCCCTCCCAAATGCAGCTGTAGCCCACGAGGCCAGCCATGCCTGGACAACTCTCTCTCAATCCTTCCTCCCTCTTGTGCCCTTGACCCCAGAGCTGGCCAGCTCCACTCCCTAGTCAGGTGCCAGGCTGTGATGGGATGCAGCAGCACTGCCAAGAGCCCAAATATTGTGGGGCCTGCACCCAGAAAGGCCACCTGTAGGCCAGGAGGCTAGGGAAGCTGGGCCTGAGACAGAACGACGGGAGTCGGGGGCCGGGGGAGGGAGCAAGCGAGTGGAGAATGTGAGGGCTTGTTGTGTGGAGGCACAGATAGCGTGGGCATGGACGGCAGCGTTGGGCCACCCAAGACCGAAGCCTGCACTGGGAGAGTGGCTGGCAAACCGGCATGCACGAGAGAGAAGGGTCTGCAGAAGGCAGGGGCCGGGGCCACGGGGTCTGGGGAAAGTGGGGCAGAGGAGGCTGTGGGGGCAAGGGGAGGGCAGGAGAACATCTTCTCTTGGAGTGCCTGAGGTCGAGACAACGAGGATATGCCGTGCACCCCTGGTGGCATGCCACCCACCAACGGAGCCCAGGCCTGTTGTGTGGCAGCTGCCCACACATGGTCCCGTGTCGTGGCCCGTGTGCACCCCTGGGTGGCCAAGGGCCTCCCGATGCCAGCCCGCTGGCCTCTGCTAAAGCCTGCCTGGCACTTTGCCCACACAACCTGCCCCGGTTCCTTGCTGCTCTTGCTGCTGCCTAGAGCACACTAGGGCAGGGTCCAGGGGTGGCAGTGCTGGGCAGAGACGACACCCCGGCTAGGCAGCAGCATGCCCTTCCTAAACTCAGGCCAATGGCCAGCATTCTGCCTGCCATTATTTCGGTCTGGTCTTTCCCGAAAGAACCAGAGGCCATCCGTGAGCGCCTGCAAGAGGAGTATGCTATGGCGGCACTTGGGCCGGCGGTCTTCCACGCCTAGGCCTGACACAGCGTCCCCTGAATCTCTCAAGTCACTCTGGCCTTGCTGGTCGCTGGGTAGGGACACTGGGCACATGCACACCACAGGCAGTTCTCCGGTGGGGCCAGAGATTCCCACGGGGCGGGTCCCACTCCCAGACAGCGGCAGCAGGCGGACCAGACCCTCTTGTTGGGCCTAGTGGCCACCGCAGCCACTAGGTGGGCTCTGCTTTGCCTGTACCACTTCCCTGCTGCCCCAGGCCGGTCCAGGGGGTGTCACGGTGCTGACCGTCCAGCCGGGCTTGCTGTATACCTGCAAAGTCTGGGTGCACCTGGGATTCGTCTGTGTGGAGCACAGGTCCCCAGTGGGCCAGCCCCATGGACGCCAATGCTGAAATGCAGTCCAAGGCCTTCCCATGGAGGCAGCTCCAGTACTTCCAGACCTAGGCCCGGCTCCTTGTCACCTGTGAGACACAGTGACGCATCCCCAACACATTCCCATAAGGCACCCTGTGGGAACCATGGTCAGAACACGTTCAGGAATGCTGGGCCACCCGGGAGGCATGGATGGCATATTTGCCACGTTCCATGCTTCACGGGGAGCTGCCCCAGCTGCCCAGAGAGCGCCCTGGACCCACACATGCCCTGCGCGCCAGCCAACACACGGGCTGAACACATGTCCCCAGTGAGGCAGGCTTCCTCTCACATTGAAAGCGGCAAGCTCCCTGGCTTGCTGCCTCAGTGGCTTCCCTTTTGGGATTTCAGGGTGTCGCAGCCATTGAGCCCCACACACATGCCGCCACACCCACCCGCCCTGTGTGTGTGGCACGGCCCCTCCTCACCCCTGGGCTTGAGGGGAGCCATTCTACCTTACCATTGTGGAAGCCGTGACTGCTCCACCCATGACCAGCACAGGAGCACTGCCTGGGTCCCAGCCGGCCTGCCACAGAGAGGGCCTGCCACAGAGAGCGCTGTGACCACCCAGGGCTGCTGCTGCTATTGCAGGCACAACCCCTAACCACACCTTGCACACACGTGCACCTCACAACCACTGTGAGCACCACCCGAGCCAAAGGAATCTCCTCTGGACAGCATGTCGTTCAAGCTCTGTGTCATTTTACACTCACACAGTGTGTTCCCAGTGGCTGTGGAGACAGCAGGCCCTTCCCCATTTCCCAGGGGTGGGGACTGAGGGGTGTGAAGGGGCACCACCGTCAGAAGCCAGGCACGCCCACAGGCTGGCAATGAGGGACGTCTCATTCTCTGTGTGGGCCACTGGGAATTTCAGTTGTCTTCTTCTTCTTCCTCCTCCTCCTCCTCCTCATCTTGCTCCACCTCCTGCACAGACCTGGGTCAAGACACAAAGGCAGGGCAGGGTCTCGTGTAGCTCCCGCAAACCCCAACTGTGCTCGTGCTGCCACGGTAGCCGGGCGGGTTACACAGCATGCTTTGCAACCCCGTGCCTCTGCTGCCATGTCCAGCACAGTCGCACTGCGGCCCACTGTGCTCCTGGCAGATGCCACCGTGGTGCAGACACTTGTGCTCCTGCTCCCACTGCCCTCCACACTGGCACCTGGATCCCAACCAAGCCTGAATACCCGCCAACCACACCAGACCCAGCACACATCCCAGTGTGTCTGTCTGCAAGGCAGACAGCCCATGCTTTGACAATGCTCCCGGGCGTGGTGGGGTGCTGGTGGCAGGGGTCAAACGCACTGGCACCAGAGTGCAGCCCTTGGTGTCAGGCAGAGGCAGAAGTGGGCGAGGGCTGGATGCCTGGCTGCAAGAGGGTGGACCCGCCAGCTGTTACGGCAAAGGGGAAGGATTTGCAGCATTCAAGCCTCCCACCTGTGCCATACAGGTGCAGGGGGCCCCTGCGGGGCTCGGGTGAGGGCACGTCCCCTGCCTGGAGGAGGCCTGCTGCCATACTGCTCCCGGCTTCCCAGCCTCCCAGCCGAGGGAACGCTCATGCTCCAGTCCCTGGTCTACGCACCCCACTTCTGGCACGGTTCCCGTGAAGCTGACATCCTCCCTGGGATAGTACAGCAGGGGATTGAGCCACAGGTCCTCGCAGATGATCTGGGTGGAGGGTGGGAGAGGAGCTCAGGCCAGCCTAGAGGTGCTAAGCTCGCCTGAGCCTCCCGGCAGGCACCTTGCCCACTGTACTCGTACAGCAGCAGAGCAGCAGCCCACCTCACCGGCACTGGGCCTGTGGTCCTCGCCAGCCTCTGGCGGCCAGCTTCCTGAGGCCAGCAAAAGGCTCCAGAGTCGAGTGAGCTGATGCCCATGAAGGGAGGCCTCACCTTGGCAATGCTGTTGGTGCCCGGGACAGCATGGTTCGTCAGCCAATCCAAGAAGCTGGGTGGGCAGGAGCCCGGGCTGTAGCCGGGTGGATCACCGTCACAATCACAGAACCACTGGATGGTGCTGGAACGTGCAGCCCTGTATCCTGCGGGAATGGGATCTGTACAAGGACCCATGGCTGGGCAGGAACCCCACCGAATCGCCTCCACCATCTACGGCTTCCCTACCACGCACGCTCCGACAGTAATCCTTGCAGATCTCGTCATTGCGGAAGTAGGGGTTCTGCCGGAAGCAAAAGCGTATCCTGCACTGCCCCTGGCCACAGCTGAGCTCCTTGACCTGCCAAAGGGAGCACGGTGAGCCCACTGTGCCCAGAGGCACATCCCGCCCCGTCTCCACATCCCCGGCCACACTCTCTTGCTTCCTCCCAGCAAACATCCAGCCCCGGGACCCACTCTCACCACCACCCAACCCCTGCACCAGCAACAACACACACCCGCGGGTCCCCACCTCCAAGCCAATCACGTAGCTCAGCACATCTTCATCCTGCTCATTGATGACGCTCCTCAGCTCGGGGTGGTGTGTAATCCGCTTGGGGTCAAGGAGACACCCGTGGCACTAGTGAACATGGAGCCTGCAGCATGAGTCACACTGCCTTCCCTTCCACAGCCCCGTGTGCTGCCCAACAGGCTGGACCTCAGCTCACCAGGCCTCTGATTCCAGACCTCGCCTCCCTCGAGCTACAGCACCAGCAGCCATGCTCAGGATTACAGGGGTTCCACTGCGGACAACCCCGATGCTCTGCTCTGGGCCGCAGCCTGAACTTGCACTTGCCAGGAGCTGCTCTGCTGCTACCACCTCAACTTCCAGTCCGGCAGCAGTGTGCCTCTGGCTGTACCACACCACTGGATCCTCAGCAGAACATTGCCACATTCCCTTCCCCAGGCCTGGCTAACCACAGCCCTGCACACAGTTTGTGGGTTGGATCCGGCAGGTCTGCCTCAGCTCTCCTGGACCTGTGAGCAAGACCTACTCTTGCTCACAGGGTGCTGCCCGAGCTGAGTGCAGCTGAGGCTAGCCGAGACCACCTGTGGTGCAGGCTGCTCAGCCCCACACCATGCACAGCCCAACACCCAAGCCATTCAGTCTGAGGGCTGGCTTTCCCCGGGGTGGTTAGTGCCTGGCTTCTGGCTCCCTGCCACAGTGGAGGTGACTCATCCAGTCAGGGCCTTGGCCAGAGCTAAGACTCTCGAGGACTCTGCTGCCCTCCTGCCAACTGCCACACTTTCCCAACACTCCCATCACACACGCACACACACACACACACACACACACACACACACACACACAGCCCGCACACTCTGTCAGACTCTCTGTGTCACACACAACCCACCACCCCTGCCCTCCTCTGCCAGCAGGGCCGGCCTGGCACAGCCCCCTGCCCCAGCCAACCCCAACCCCCAGCCCGCCGGGCCCAGCCACACGGCCAACCTGAGCTGGCCGGCAGGAAGGATACGGCTTTGTGCCAGAAAGCCGGGATGGCCCTGAGGATGGCCTTTCTGCGCAGCAGGTACGGCCTGAGCCTCGTCGCCAGCTCGGCCTGCAGCTGCAGAAAAGCCCGCTGGCTCCCTGCACTCAGGGATCTGTGCCGCTCTTCCAGCCACTGCAGCCGCTGCAGCGGGGAGCCCAGACACCCAGGGCCCTGGCCACGCAGGGCCATGAGGCCCTGCACCTGAGCAGCTGGGGAGGGGCCGGCGCGCACGGCCTGTGTGCCTGCCAGGCCCGGGAGCAGCACTGGCTTGCCGCCCAGACCATCCGCCAGGCCCGGGACCAGACCCGCTTGCCTGGCCCCTGCTGGGGCTCGGGACTGGGCCAAGGGCGCAGGCGCCACCGCAGGCGCAGGCGCCGCCACAGGAGCAGGCGCCGCCACAGGAGCAGCAGCAGGCGCACTCGGGCAGCCAGCGCCCCCTTGTGTTCCCCAGAGCACCAGGCGCCCTGCACTCACCAGCGCCAGCAGCCAGCCATGCTGCTGACCTGGCCTTCATGGCGCCCACTGCAGCTGGGGATGCAGTTACAGGGCAGTGGCCTGGCCAGAGTGCCTGTGGCACCTGCGCGCTCCTGCTCTCCATAGCTCACCCCTCCCAAATGCAGCTGTAGCCCACGAGGCCAGCCATGCCTGGACAACTCTCTCTCAATCCTTCCTCCCTCTTGTGCCCTTGACCCCAGAGCTGGCCAGCTCCACTCCCTAGTCAGGTGCCAGGCTGTGATGGGATGCAGCAGCACTGCCAAGAGCCCAAATATTGTGGGGCCTGCACCCAGAAAGGCCACCTGTAGGCCAGGAGGCTAGGGAAGCTGGGCCTGAGACAGAACGACGGGAGTCGGGGGCCGGGGGAGGGAGCAAGCGAGTGGAGAATGTGAGGGCTTGTTGTGTGGAGGCACAGATAGCGTGGGCATGGACGGCAGCGTTGGGCCACCCAAGACCGAAGCCTGCACTGGGAGAGTGGCTGGCAAACCGGCATGCACGAGAGAGAAGGGTCTGCAGAAGGCAGGGGCCGGGGCCACGGGGTCTGGGGAAAGTGGGGCAGAGGAGGCTGTGGGGGCAAGGGGAGGGCAGGAGAACATCTTCTCTTGGAGTGCCTGAGGTCGAGACAACGAGGATATGCCGTGCACCCCTGGTGGCATGCCACCCACCAACGGAGCCCAGGCCTGTTGTGTGGCAGCTGCCCACACATGGTCCCGTGTCGTGGCCCGTGTGCACCCCTGGGTGGCCAAGGGCCTCCCGATGCCAGCCCGCTGGCCTCTGCTAAAGCCTGCCTGGCACTTTGCCCACACAACCTGCCCCGGTTCCTTGCTGCTCTTGCTGCTGCCTAGAGCACACTAGGGCAGGGTCCAGGGGTGGCAGTGCTGGGCAGAGACGACACCCCGGCTAGGCAGCAGCATGCCCTTCCTAAACTCAGGCCAATGGCCAGCATTCTGCCTGCCATTATTTCGGTCTGGTCTTTCCCGAAAGAACCAGAGGCCATCCGTGAGCGCCTGCAAGAGGAGTATGCTATGGCGGCACTTGGGCCGGCGGTCTTCCACGCCTAGGCCTGACACAGCGTCCCCTGAATCTCTCAAGTCACTCTGGCCTTGCTGGTCGCTGGGTAGGGACACTGGGCACATGCACACCACAGGCAGTTCTCCGGTGGGGCCAGAGATTCCCACGGGGCGGGTCCCACTCCCAGACAGCGGCAGCAGGCGGACCAGACCCTCTTGTTGGGCCTAGTGGCCACCGCAGCCACTAGGTGGGCTCTGCTTTGCCTGTACCACTTCCCTGCTGCCCCAGGCCGGTCCAGGGGGTGTCACGGTGCTGACCGTCCAGCCGGGCTTGCTGTATACCTGCAAAGTCTGGGTGCACCTGGGATTCGTCTGTGTGGAGCACAGGTCCCCAGTGGGCCAGCCCCATGGACGCCAATGCTGAAATGCAGTCCAAGGCCTTCCCATGGAGGCAGCTCCAGTACTTCCAGACCTAGGCCCGGCTCCTTGTCACCTGTGAGACACAGTGACGCATCCCCAACACATTCCCATAAGGCACCCTGTGGGAACCATGGTCAGAACACGTTCAGGAATGCTGGGCCACCCGGGAGGCATGGATGGCATATTTGCCACGTTCCATGCTTCACGGGGAGCTGCCCCAGCTGCCCAGAGAGCGCCCTGGACCCACACATGCCCTGCGCGCCAGCCAACACACGGGCTGAACACATGTCCCCAGTGAGGCAGGCTTCCTCTCACATTGAAAGCGGCAAGCTCCCTGGCTTGCTGCCTCAGTGGCTTCCCTTTTGGGATTTCAGGGTGTCGCAGCCATTGAGCCCCACACACATGCCGCCACACCCACCCGCCCTGTGTGTGTGGCACGGCCCCTCCTCACCCCTGGGCTTGAGGGGAGCCATTCTACCTTACCATTGTGGAAGCCGTGACTGCTCCACCCATGACCAGCACAGGAGCACTGCCTGGGTCCCAGCCGGCCTGCCACAGAGAGGGCCTGCCACAGAGAGCGCTGTGACCACCCAGGGCTGCTGCTGCTATTGCAGGCACAACCCCTAACCACACCTTGCACACACGTGCACCTCAC